CCACACACACACCACACACACCCCCACACGCACCACACACACGCACACACACACACACCACACACACGCACACACACACACCCACACACCACCACACACACACACACACACACCACCCACACACACGCACACACACCCACCACACACACACTCACACACACACCACACACACACACACACACCACCACACACACGCACTCACACACACCACACTCACACACACACTCACACACACACACTCACACACCACACTCACACACACACTCACACAAACACACTCACACACACACTCACACACACACCCACACACACACACTCACACACTCACATACACACACACACACCACAAACACACACACACACTCACACACACACACTCACACACACACACTCTCACACACTCACACACACACTCACACACTCACACACACACACTCACACACACACTCACACACACACACTCACACACACTCACACACACTCACACACACACACTCTCACACACACACAACACATCACACACTCACACACTCACACACACACTCACACACACATCACACACACACACTCACACACACCCTCACACACACACACACACACACTCACACACACACACTCACACACACACACTCACACACACACACTCACACACACTCTCACACACACACACTCACACACACTCTCACACACACACACACACACACACTCACACACACCACACACACACACACACACTCACCACACACACACCACACACTCACACACACACACACACACACTCTCACACACTCACACACACACACTCACACACACACACACACACACACCGCACACACCCGCGCTTAAGCAAGAGCTCAGTGGATAGAGCATCAGTCTGCAAACTGAAAGGTCCCAGGTTTGATTCCGGTCAAGGGCACGTGCCCGGGTCCAGGCTAGATCCCCAGTAGGGGGCGTACAAGAGGCAGCCAATCAAGGATTCTCCCTTATCCTTGATGTTTCTATCCTTGCCCTGACCGGTTTGGCTCAGTGGACAGAGCGTCGGCCTGCGGACTGAAAGGTCCCGGGTTCGATTCCGGGCAAGGGCATGTACCTTGGTTGCAGGCAGATCCCCAGTAGGGGGTGTACAGGAGGCAGCTGATCGATGTTTCAAACTCTCTATCCCTCTCCCTTTCTCTCTCTAAAAAAAAAAAATCAATAAAATATATTTAAAAAAATAAAAATAAGTAAAATAAAAATGAAAAGCGCTCTGGCCGGCGGGCGTGGCCCCGAGGTGGAATGCCCTGAGTCCCAGGGCCAGGTGGCCGCCGCCCAGTGCCCAGGGCAGGGCAGGGCGCTCGGGTGGCGTCCAGGCTGTCCTGGGGTCAGTCCCACAGAGACGGCCTCCTTAGCACGTGGCCTCTGGGACTCAGAGTCAGACGGTGGGTCCTCAGTGCGCGGCGGGCGGGGGACGGGGCGGCCAGGTGACGGCGTCCGGACGCCGAGGGCTGTGTCACCGCTCCGGGCTGGCCACCACCGCCCGCACGGACACCGACACGCAGCGCGGCAGCACGGCTCAGAACCGCCCCCTGCAGGCCGGGGGTCCTGGGCCCAGTTCTGGTCAAGGGCACAGGCCCTGGTCAGGGTGTCTCTCACATGGTGTCTCTCTGTCTCTCCCTCTCCCCTCTCCTCTAAAAACCAACGGGAAAATGCCCTCGGTGAGGGGCAGACAGACAAACAGACACAACGGGAAGCTGTGAAGCCGAGTCCCCGCCGGCAGGCGAGGCGCCCATAGGGTGAGAGAGCTCTGAGCAGGGACTGGGCGCCGGGCCCTGGGCTCTGGGCTCTGGGAGGCGCCGTGGGCACGGCTCCTCCTGGCCCTCACACCCTGGAGACAACACCGGTGCCCCCAGCTCACAGAGGGGCAAACTGAGGCTGCCCTGGCACGGCCACGGCCACAGGCCAGGTTCATCCCCAGCCCGGCCGAGGGCAGGCTCCTCCCCGGAGCCGGCAGCCATCAGCGGGCTGAGCCGGGAGCCAGGGCCTGGACGAGGCGGGAGGAGGCTGCCTGCCCCCGGGAGTCCCGCTGCCGGGGGCGGTTCCAGGTCAGGCCCCGGGAGAGGCGGGCAGGCCTCCAGCTGCGGCTCCTTGGCTGGCGGCTCCCTGCTCCTCCCGGGTGGTCTGACCGGGAGCCGGACGGCGCTGCCCTGGCACCGAGGGGAGGGCCCGGCGCCAGCGGGGAGCAGCAGGTGAGCCTCTGAACGGCCCCTCTGTGCCTCCGCAGGGTGTCTGCCGGCCGAGCTGGCTTCCAGAACCTTCTGTCTCTGCAGGTGCCTCGGGCCCTGGCGCCCACACTCGGGTGACCCCGATTTTGTCACCTTCCAGGCCCCGTGATTCCCCATTCACGGCGCTGAAAGCCGGGCCTGCGTTCTGTGCGGCACGTCGGCCTCTGTTCCCCCGGCTTCCTGCCGGTGCCGCCGGTCAATGGGGAGGACGCCGCCGGATGGCCGCCCGGGCGGGAAGTGACTTCAGAGCCACCTTTGTTCCCGGCCCCTTTGAGCGCGTCTGAAAGGCGGGGCGGGCGGGAGGCCCCTCGGGCCCGGGGCCGGGGAAACTGCCAAACGCTGGCACCAGCACCGCGGTGACACGGGCCTTTGTGCCAGAAATTAGCCACAGGCTCCAAGCAAATTGTGCCTTTTCTCCGCAGCGGCCGCCTTCCGAGCACTTGGCTCCCGCCCGACTCCAGCTCTGTCCCAAACCAGCCCCCACGCAGCCGAGCCCGGGGTGCTGATGCGCGGCTGTGCTAACCCGCACCCAGGGGCGTTTTTCCTCCGAGGGAGCGTGGAAGGGCGGGGGGGGGGGGGGCGAGGGGAGCGACATGTCCCTGGTTGCCTCCTGCATGTGCCTGCCCAGGGCCAGGGGTCAAACCCCAAACCCAGGTCTGTGCCCTTGACCGGGAATTGGAGCCTCGGCCCTTTGGTGCTTGGGCAGACACTCTAACCACTGAGCTACCAGCCAGAGCCAATGCATGCACCGTAATTCAGGGCCATCCCGGTCACAGGCGCTGAGAGGGCCCCGCCCTCCGGCCACGTGCTCTTACGTTCTGAGTGGCAGGCGCTCTCTCCGATGGTCTCTAACACAGAGGCAGGTCCTGCCTCTCCCTCCTGCTTCGCGGTGACTGACAATCCTCCCACAGAAGATTCCTCGCAGACGCGGGTGAGCAGTCAGAGTGCATGGCTGCGACACGTGCAGCTGCAGTGCCGGCACGCTCCGGAGCCACGGGAATTCCCATCTGAGCTCGGAGCGCCATCACCACAGCCCAGTCAAGCTCCTATCAGTATTGCTTTTAATCTGAAAGAGTCTCACCCAACTTATTCCCCCACTTTTCTTCTTTGTTCCATAGGAAAACAAGCCTCAGGGCAAATCTGGGTTTAAAAACAATCTTAAGTAGTAAACTTTATTAAAGCAAGGTCCACATGGCATTTATCCACAATAGAACAGAATAAACCTCCCACAAGATTTAAAAAGCGAGCTCGCCCGCTGGCGTGGCTCAGCAGTGTGTATGTGTGAGTGTGTGAGTGTGTGGGTATGAGTGTGTGTGTGTGTGTGTGTGTGTGAGTGTGTGGGTATGAGTGTGTGTGTGTGTGTGTGTGTGTGTGAGTGTGTATGAGTGTGTGTGTGTGTGAGTGTGTGTGAGTGTGTGTGTGTGTGTGTGTGTGTGTGAGTGTGTGTGTGTGAGTGTGTGGGTATGAGTTGTGTATGTGTGTGGGGTGTGTGAGTTGTGTATGAGTGTGTGTGTGTGTGTGTGTGTGAGTGTGTATGTGTGTGTGTGTGTGTGTGTGTATGAGTGTGTGTGTGAGTGTGTGAGTGTGAGAGTGTGTATGAGTGAGTGTGTGAGTGTGTATATGTGTGAGTCTGTATGTCTCTGTGAGTCTGTGAGTGTGTATCTGAGAGTGTGTGGGAGTGTTTATGTGAATGAGTATGTGTGGGAGTGTGTGTGTGCATGTGAGTGTGAGTGTGTGTGAGTGTGAGTGCGTGTTTTTTCCAGGCGAGAGGCCAATCTGTGTGAGTTTCCCTTAAGCCAGAGCCAGTCACTGATGAGGTGAAAGAACGCCCTCGGCCCTGAGCCACCGCAGTGGGGGGAGGCGGAGGGGGTGGGCAGCCCGCCTGGTGCGCTGGCCCCTGAGCCCACACGTCTATCCTCGGAACCAGGCGGGACTTACCACCAGTGCCTTTCTGACCCGGCAGGCAGTCAGGTGGTTTTTAAAGAAACGTGGGACCGCGTTCCCGTCTGCAGGCTCGCAGCCCGCGTGTCCTCCATGACCCATGACAGACAGGACGGGCGCAGGGTGCCGGCGGTCAGGTCCCCAGCGGGAAGGAGGGGGGCCGGGGGGCAGGGGGTAACTGCAGCTCAGTGAGCTCAGTGTGGGTTTGAGTGCAGGGGCTGCGGGCGGGCTGCACAGGGTGGATGCGCTCACACCACGAGCCCACACTCACGGGCGGGAGAGGGGTGTGTGTGTGTTTCAGTCATGCGGATTGGCCACATGTAAGTAAACACGTTGTATGCACTGTCCCCAAAGCCAGGCAGCGAGGCGGGGCCCGGACCTCAGCCTCCCCAGTGCGGCCGGAGCCCCCAGGGGTGCTCACTCTGCCCAGAGGGTGCTCCCGGGGTCCCTCCGTCCAGAGGGTGCTCCTGGCCCCCTGCGCCCAGGGAGTGCTCCCAGGGTCCCTCCGCCCAGAGGGTGCTCCCGGGGTCTCTCCGCCCAGAGGGTGCTCCCGGGGTCCCTCCGCCCAGAGGGTGCTCCGGGCCCCCTGCGCCCAGCCTTGACCCGCCCACACCTCCTCCGGTGCAGCCACGCCCCCGCGCCCAGAGACCAATGAGCGCGCGCTGCGCCCGGCCTCTCGCGGCGATTGGCTGGGCGGGCGGTACGGCTCCGGAGCCGCGTTTAAAGGGTCCGCGCGGCGCTGCCCGCTGCCCGCTGTGGGCTCCCGCGCGGCCAGGGCCACCCCGGGCGACCCCGCAGGCGCCCTCCGGCCCGACCGCCCCTGCACCATGCGGCCTCCCCGGCGCGCGTGAGCGCGGCCCCCACCATGCTGCGGCCGCCGCGGCCCGGAGGCTCCCGGGGCGACCTGGCGGGGTACCGGCCGCCGCCCTCCGCCGCCTCCTCCGCCCCCGCGGCGGCGCCCCCGCCCCCCAGGCCCGCGCGCGGGGAGGCCGAGGCGCCCGCCGAGCCCCCGGGGCGGGGCGCGGGGCGGGGCGCGGCCGGCGGCCCCGGGGCGGCCCCCCGGGAGCAGCAGCAGCTGAGGCGCAGGATCAACAGCCGCGAGCGGAGGCGCATGCGGGACCTGAACGCGGCCATGGACGCGCTGCGCGAGGTGCTGCTGCCCCCCGCGGCGGCGCGCGGCCCGGCCCGCAGGCTCTCCAAGGCGGCCACGCTGCTGCTGGCGCGCCACCGCATCCTGCTGCTGGGCCGCGCGCTGCGGGGGCTGCGCCTGCTGCTGGCCGGCCCGGGGCCCCTGCTGCCCGCGCCCCCCGGGGGACCCCCCGCCGCCCCGGGGGCCCTGCTACCCGCGCCCCCCGGCGCCCTGGGGCCCCCCGCCGGGTGCCCGGGGCTGGCGCTGGAGGGGCCTCTGTGCGGCCCCTGCGCGCTCCCGGGCGGGGCGGGGGGCCCGGGCCTCTGCCCCTGCGCCGCCTTCAGGCTCCTGGCCCTGGTGCCCGCCGGCCTGGGCCTGGCCGCCCTGCCCGCGCCGTTCTCCACGTGAGCGCCCCGCCCCCGCCCCGCCCGGCGCCCCGCCCCGGCACCCGGGCCCGCCCGGCCCGCCCGGGAGCCCCTGGGGGACCTCCCGGCCCGGAGAAGGGGCTCCCGGCGCCCCCGCCCGCGGGATGGAGGTGACCCGAGCGGCTGTGGACGAAGCGCGGGCGCCGCGTGTCACCCAGCGCCGCGGGCAGCTGCGCGCCCCTCGGGTTCGCGGCCCGGGAGCTGGGCGCCGGCCGGGGTGGCGTTCGGGCCGGACTCGCCGGGTGCAGCGGAGCCGGCTCCAGGGCCCCCTGCGGAGCCGCGGCTGCGCTCCGGGCGGGGAGGGTCTGTGCCTGCGCCCCCCCCCCCCCAGAGGCCCAGGCGCCCCCTCCAGCCCGGCCCTGTCCGCGGGGCCGAGTGTCTGGGCGCAGCTGGCCACGAGCCCTCGGCCCTCCGGACGGCGGGGTCCGGGGTGCGGGTTCGGGAAGAGGCTCCGCTTGCATCGGCGGTGAGAGCCCGAGTTCAGGTCGCACAGCCGGGCGCCGGGCTCGCTGACCGCTCTGAGCCCGGGGTTCGGGAACCGCGGGAACTGGACCGCGTGGTCTCGCGGCCCGAAGGGAGGGCAGCGGCCGGGTCTGTGACCGAGGCCGTCCCCCGCGCAGCTCCCTGACCCCCGGCGCCCCGCGGCGGCCCCAGGGTGGCCCTGCGCCTCGGCCTCCCGGGCTGACCGGTGTCCGGCCCGGCCCGCCCGCTCCGCTCCGGGAAGGCGGTGGCTGGGGGTCGCCGCCACCTCTCCGCTGGTCTGTTCTCTCTGGGACGTTGGGCTGAGAAAACCGCACAATAAAGCCTCGGAGGCCTGATGGTGCGTCCGGTGCACTTGTCAGTCAAATGCCCGGTGCCCTGGTGGGCGCACAGCCAGCCTGGGATCAGGGCTGAGCCCAGGGGCAGGGGAGGGGGAGGGAGGGACGGTGGGAGCGGAGAGGGAAGAGGGCATTCCTGGGGAGGCTCTGAGCCGCCTTGGCCCATGGCTCTTTTTTTCACTACAACCTCCTCTTCTAAAAAAAAAAAAAAGGTTAAATAAAACACGGTGATCAGTCTCCCCTGCCTCAGAAACGCACCTTTTCTCTCCCTGGTGGAGCTTGAAACACTGCACCCGCTGTGAGCCCCCCCCCCCCCCCACTGTCCCCTAAGCTGGGGGCCTCGTCTGGGGAAATGGCGGCCTGGGTGGAGAGCCCGGCCTGTCGGTGGGTCGGGAGGGTCTGGCACGGCCTCGCTCCCCTGCAGGGTGAACGCTCAGTCACGGAGGGAACCCTGTCCGCCGGGGCACAGAGGCAGGCAGCCCCGGCATCTGCAGGGAGGGGAGGAGGCCCCACAACCAGGGCTTCCTGGGGCCCGGCTGGTGCCCGAGGCCTGGGGGGGCTTTTCCTGGGGAACAGGAGGGGACGGAGGGAAGTGCTTTAGGCTCACACGCATCGCAGAGGGACTCTGTTCTGCTGGACTCCACCCCCAGCCCCCTCCTCTAACAAGTGGTTCCCATGAGGCCCGCTGTGTCTGTGCCCATCCTTGCTGGCCTGCATCTTGACCAGGGACAGAGAGAGAAAGGAAAATCAGCAACTAAGTCAAAGCCAGGTCAGGTGCTCCCTGCACACATGTTCCTGGTGGGTTAGAGAAGCAATTACACCGGGACCTTAACTCCTGCCCCCGGGACCCCAGCCCCAGCCCCTGAGACCCTAAACCCCAGCCCCTGGACCGGACCCCAGCCTCCTGGACCCCAACCCCCCGACCCCAACCCCAGCCCCCGGACCCCAACCCAGCCCCCCGACCCCAACCCCAGCCCCTGAGACCCTAAACCCCAGCCCCCGGACCCAGACCCCAGCATCCTGGACCCCAACCCAGCCCCCCGACCCCAACCCCAGCCCCCGGACCCCAACCCTCAGACCCTAGACCCGGACCCCAGCCCCCGGACCCCAACCCCAGCCCCCCAACCTCAGCCCCTGGGACCCTAAACCCCAGCCCCAGCCTCCGGGACCCCAGCCCCAGCCCCTGGCGGCCTCCACATCCCCAAACCATCTCCATGGGGCAGGAAGGCCAGAGCCCTAGGGAGGGCCCTCGGCTGATAATAGGGGGCGGGGCGGCCTCTGGGAGAGGTCCCTGCAGCCTGGGGAGTACAGTGCAGGTCGGTCGCGGTGGAGGCGGGTGAGCAGGCGGGAAACACAGCCTCTGGGACCCCCTGGCCCGCGATGGCCTGTCGCGGCCTCTGAGGGAGCTGACGACACCGCGGGAGACTGTGACCCGTGGACATGCCACTTGGAAGCTCGCGTCCCGGGGCGAGGAGCTCCTCTCCGAGGCGGACAGCCCGCCCTGCTCCACGGTCACTGACGCCGGGCTGCCTGGCCGCCGGGGCCTGCCGCTCCTCCCCAGCAGGCAAGGCTGCGGCCCACCCCCTCCCCCGCCCAGCGGTGCCGGGAACAGGCCAGGGGCCAGTGGCGGGAGGAGGAGCCGTAGTTAAGTCGATGCTTTTTTCCAGCACGCTGCGACCAGGCACCGCTGCTGGCTCTGCGCCCTCCCCCTGCGCACGTAGGCCTCCCCCTGCGCACGTAGGCCTCCCCCTGCGCACAGTAGGCCTTCGCTGGAGCAGGCTCCGCGGCCACCAGTAGGAACGTCACGTTTTCCTAAACCAGAGCTGCCCGCGTGGAGCAGACGGCAGGTGCAGGAACCCTGTTTGCCAGTCGGTGCGGCTTCTCCTGCCACATGTGAGCCGTGAGGACCCGGAGGCCCGGGGCCCAGAGACCCGCCTTTCCCGCGAGCCCACTCCGTCCCTGAGACGGGCCAGCGCAGGAGCGGCCACGCCAGCCGGCCCCGAGGGCGGGTTCTCTGCTGGCCGGGGTCAGCTGCCCGTCTCCCCTTCTCCCCACCCCACCTTCCCCCCACCCCCACCCCCACACACCCTGTGCTGAGGTGCCTGGACCAGCAGGACCAGCCCGGGCTCGGCTGGCTGCTCGGGGAGAGGCACTGGGGGCCCTTTCTCTTCCTCAGGGACCACGAGGACACAGCACGCAGGGGCACTGCCCGGATGAGGGCCACGTGTGTCACGTGGTATCTGAGCCCACGGAATGCCAGTGGCCCGAGACCTGGCGGGACCTGCCCCTCCTCCTGTGAATGAGGCACCTGGGTCCCCGGACGCTCAGGGCACAGGGGACGGTTCAGGCCACAATGCCAGGGCCGGCACCTGCTGGGGGAGGTGGCCTGGCCTCTCCTGGAAGCGGGAACCCTGGCGGAGGCGGGCACACCTGAGCCCCGGCCTTGTCCGGCCTCTGCCCAGCCCTCCGGCTGCCCCCGTGCGGCTTCTAAACAGGCACCACAGGGCCCCCCTGCCAGGTGCCCGGCTGCAGGTCAGCCACCCGAGCCGGCTCTGCAGGCCCCAGGCCGGTGTCAGCCATCGCCTCCCCCCGCGGTTCCGAGCAGGCGGTGGCGGCTGTGCCGGGGGAGGCCGCGTGGCTGAGCGGCCTGCCTGCTCCCGCCCGTCCCCTCCTGCCCGGGGCCTGGCGGGGCCTGCTCCCCGAGCCTCACCCAGCCGGCCAGCAGACCCAGCGGTGGGGCCCTCCCCGACACCGAGGCGGACAATGGCTCTCAGAGGCCCCGAGGCTGGGCTGGCGGGTGTCATGGGTGTCACTCCCTGAGCTCAGGGCCACGGAACAGCAGCAGCTGGTGTGTGAGTGTAAACACCAGGCGGCGGGTGAGTCACCACTACGTCATCCTGCACGAGGGCCAGGCAGGCGAGGGCTCTGCTCCTCACCACGGCACCCCCAGACACCCCCGGGGACCTGCTGGGGGACCTGCTCCGGGGGACCTGCTGGGGGACCTGCTCCTGGGGACCTGCTCCTGGGGACCTGCTCCTGGGGGACCTGCTCCTGGGGACCTGCTCCTGGGGACCTGCTGGGGGACCTGCTCCTGGGGACCTGCTCCTGGGGGACCTGCTCCTGGGGGACCTGCTGGGGGACCTGCTCCTGGGGACCTGCTCCGGGGGACCTGCTCCGGGGGACCTGCTGGGGGACCTGCTCCTGGAGACCTGCTCCGGGGGACCTGCTCCTGGGGACCTGCTGGGGGGCCTGCTCCTGGGGACCTGCTCCTGGGGGACTGCTGGGGGACCTGCTCCGGGGGACCTGCTCCTGGGGACCTGCTGGGGGACCTGCTCCTGGGGACCTGCTCCTGGGGGACCTGCTGGGGGACCTGCTCCTGGGGGACCTGCTCCGGGAGACCTGCTCCTGGGGGACCTGCTCCTGGGGACCTGCTGGGGGACCTGCTCCTGGGGGACCTGTTCCTGGGGGACCTGCTGGGGGGCCTGCTCCTGGGGGACCTGCTGGGGGACCTGCTCCTGGGGGACCTGCTCCGGGAGACCTGCTCCTGGGGGACCTGCTCCTGGGGACCTGCTGGGGGACCTGCTCCTGGGGGACCTGTTCCTGGGGACCTGCCGGGGGGCCTGCTCCTGGGGGACCTGCTGGGGGACCTGCTCAAAGACAGACCCTCCACATGGGGCTTCGGTCACCTAACTGCAGGGGGTGCCCACAGCCCATTCCAGCCGCCATCCGGAATGTTCCTGATGGGACACAGGTCGCAGTGAGAAGAAAGGAAGGAAAGACGGACTGAACGAGGGAGGAGGCAGGGCTCATTCACACTCATGTTGTAGATAGGAAGTCTGTCTTGGTTCAGACCCTTTAGTTAAACGGCCACCTCACACTGTGCCCAGGGCCCAGTCAGAGAGAAGCATTGTCATCAATTAAACTTGTCCAAGTCAGAGACGATCGATTTGACGAGCTTCCTGCTCCTCAGGCCGCAGGACGAGATGGGGCGCCAAGGAGCACGTAGGGCCCAGCCGCAGGCTCAGCGGCTCAGCGTCGACCTAGGAGCCAGGAGGTCACAGTAGGTTCCTGGTCAGGACACATGCTCCCGTGTGGGGCGTGCAGGAGGCAGCCGACCCACGATTCCCTCTCACCATTGATGTGTCTGTCTCTCTCTCTCTCCATC